CTGTGCCAGACACTGTAAGGGTTTATGACATGCATAAAATGGAACTTGTGTCCTCAGAGTTTATGATATGAGAATGGTAATTTGATGCACACTAAAATTCATAGGCCGTGTAGAGAAATGGTATGATCGCATTCCCCGAAGTTAGGAAGAAATGAGTCAGAAGGTAGGGAAATAATTGCCTTGCTGAGTACCTACATCTGCAACTACAGAGAAAGTAAGACAGGGCCAAATGTCACAACACAGAGTGTATTCACACACTTGCAAAATTCATTATGATAATCTGCTATCATTATTTGAAGTGAATATTATACCTACCATGAAAGTGACCTAATTGTCAAGTCAAATGGTAAACCAGGAATTTGGAAGAATTCACCTCAAACTCTATATTTAATTTTTCCTGAAATTTTTTGTAAGCACAACCATTCTCCTAATAATTTGACTTTCAAAAGGATAAACTACTTGTGTTCTCCTGTAGGGACTAATTGTATGAAACAAGCATTATTTAGAGAAAATTTTAAAAGTTGAAAACAGAATATGCTTCTTTGTGGTTTTGCTATCTAAATACAATGGGAAGGTAAGCAGGATCATTTTTTAATCCGCAAAACATAAAAATCTCAATTAGTTATGGTCTATTTGTGCACTGACTAAAAACATTTGTTAACAAAACAGAATTTTCTAGTTTACTGGATAAATATACCAGAAGAAATTGCAGAATAACGTTGGGTTGCCAAGCAACCACAGCTCTCCTCTCTCACTTGTGATTAATCCAACTCATTCATCAAGCTTCCTAACCCAAGGCTGGAGAATTCTAAGCCACTTCTTTCTTTGGAAAATTATAGTGACTTTTGGTAACACAATAACATTTTTATTCTCAGAAGACAAACTTAGATGCTCCTCAGATCTAACGGATGTGTTAATTCATTATTCTCTACGTGGTGCTAATGAGAAAGCTCTAATTAACTAACTACACTATTGCGACACACATAAAATAAACTGCAGCAATTAGTAATGTTTAAGGTGTTCACCAGCCTCCAAAATTAGACAATACAGGCTCTTTCCTCTAATAAAGATGTACAGCAAAGAGAAAACACCATATCTAATTAAATTGGAATTGTTTCCAGTCCCTCCCCAGGGGAAGGGAAGAGGCTTGTGATCCCCAAAATGTGAGAGATTTCACTATAACAGCGGAGAAAATGGCTCACTGCCAATTGCTACTTGTAGGTAGACACAAAGTGCTAGGGAATAATGTAATCCTTTCTTTCAAAGAATGCTTAGTACAATATTTTTCCAGGAATGAATAGAAAGAATATTACGCTTTCACTCATTAGCTGTGTTAACTTAGCATATTGTATGTAAATCACCATAATAATTGCATTCTCTTCAGACTGAATTAGTTAGAATGGAGCTGTAATCAAAATGCTCATAATTGAAAATATAGTATTCTCAGACTTGGTTTGAAAAAAGAACAATGAATGCTGATTGAATCAGATGATACAGCTTCTCACTGAAAATAGCCTTCACACAGAGACAAGTTCATCTTCTTGATTACACCTTTGCATGTTAACTGTCTCCCTGAATTTAGGACTCAGTGTCTGCTTAGCACCTGGCATGTTTTTCTATTTACGTCCTTTGTTTTGAACTAAGTTAAGCTTTCCAAATGCACCATTTTTAAAAAGTGTTTTAAAGGAAACACAAAAAGGTTGAAAGCTAAATTCTGCTTCTAAAATACATCAGACTGTGTTGCACTGTTATCTGTCATAAATCAAAGGGCAAACTAATTCCTAATAAATGGAACATTTAATACCAAATCCCCTGGGAAACAATATGCAAATTATCCCTTAAGTTTCAGACAAGCTGTCACACTAATTCCTCAAGGTACCTTTTAAAGATGACATATTCTCTGGGAAGATGAGAGTGGAGCAAAAGCCAAACTCGAAGCAAAACTCTGCTACCTGAATAGATGCTCCCAGGATTCCCTGAAAACCTTTCCCTTCAAATCTGATGCTATTAATTCTCTCCATTACTTAATTTTTCCTCATCAGTTAAAAACTGCTAGGGTCACATATCAGTCTCTGTCATTTTCCTTATTTAATTCTCCATAAAAGAAAATAAGGCTATATTATTTTAACAAAGCAATTTTAGGTCAATCTTCAGTCTTCAAAGGTTTCAGGCTTCTGTCCAGTAATTTTTTTTAAGTGAAAGCTGTCATAAATGTCACTAAAGATCTGTTTGATAGTAGTATCTGTCTGGCTTCATGACCTCCAGTCTTTCAGGATATGAATGACGTTTCAAACACATTAAAAACATTTAAAAGTGGTTCATTTAATAGGGTGCACTAACTTAAGAGTAATAAAATATATTATGTCCAGTATCGACTTCTGTCAGTCATGCAAGAAACCCCTTTGTACAGCTTCCTCATCACTAGGTAAGATGGAATCATCACTTACAGAATCCTTCTACTTATGTACAAGTATCACAAAACATCTACAGTCTTTACAAGTATGAGATATCAATAAATATCTACGGCCTTTAATGGATGAGAGTCAACACAGAACAGAAAATAATCTGGAAAAATATATATATTAATAGACATAGTCTTCTGTATGTAGAGTGAAGTAGGTACAAACATGCCCTGAAAGAGATTTTAATAAACAGCAATAGTCAATATTCACATCTGCCCAATAAAAGCTGTCTCCATTTATTCAATAATAATATCATCCAACAACAATAAGCTCACAGGGAACAATTATAGCAAAGCTCTGCCCTGACGAAATCCACACACTTTAGGCCATACAATGAGAATCAGGGTATATACTAGTGTCTAGAATCAGGTTAAATCATCAAAGCTGTAAGATGTTCCATCACAGAGACTGAAATTAAGACAAACTCAACTGTAACACGGAAAGATAAAAGAGGAAGCATGAAAGGATGCTCACAAAGCTTTAAAATCAGGTTTTCTTGCTACCCAAAGTTTCTCCAAAGAGCTTTCTAAATTTCTCTGACCATCATTATTTTGAAAACCCCATTTGCTGGGCAACTGGTCACTATATGTCTTTCAGTTTACTACAAGCCAGGCTATGTTTTGATGATATTAATATTGAGATTAATCTTTAAAACTAGAAAGCAAAGAATTTTGCTTTGTACTCAATAATGTTGCAGAGAGATTGAAAAATCCATGAACAAAGCACTTATGCGTTAATAATAAAAGAAATACAATCAAGAACAACTAACTTTTTAACTGCATGATGTATCAGATACGGGGTAAATTGTTCACTTGGCCGATTGCATTCCGGTCTTAAGACAATCCTATACAGAATGTGTAGATATTATCCTTATTATTTGGAAAGGGAAAGTGAAGGACTGAATAAATGGCTCTTCCAACTCACACAACACAGAGAGCTAGATTGCGAAACCACATAGTTGCCCAAGGAGGCAACCTTCCACTAATCCAGGTGTTTTACAATTGCCCATTTCCGCGCGCACGCGCAGACAACCCCTCTGGGCCACCCGGACACAAGCGTCCCCAGGGAGCTCGCCATAGCGCACGCGCCTGTCCCGCCAAACCCATGCCTACTGGGCGGGCTGCTCTGTAGCACTTGGGAGAGGGACTGAACCCCAGCGCCCCTCTGAGACTGCTGAGAGGCGGATCCCTTCCGGCCCAGCCACCCAGCTGGGCGCTGCACACCTGTCTGCCTCCGCCCTCGTCCACCGTGTCAGCAGCAGCCCGCTCCGCTGTCAGCGAGACCGCCCTCTCTGCGCTCGCCCAAGTGTAGCACTTGAGGTTGAATACCTGGGCACGTGTCACCAAGGCTTCCACAGCCCCGGGCTTTTCGCAGAAATTCCTTAGCCCCGACCCGGCTGAGAAAGTACAGCTCACTGTGAGCAAAAGGATTCAAGGATTCGGGGTACAGAGACCGGGCAGCCCAGCCGCGTTACTCCGATCCCTGCTTTCCAAATTTGTCTCTATCTCCTTGCTGCTTATTCCTCATGCACAACCTCCGTGTAAAGGCGAGAGAGAAAAAGAGACGAGAGAGAGAGGGAGGGAG